ACCCAACAGGGGGGATTACTATCGATATATATCCGTTATGGTTAATAATCGATATATATCGGCCTATTTTTTTTGCCAATGTTGGACAAAGTTTATTGTATATTGGGTTAATGATGAAGGATGTTCACTTAGCTGTTTTGTAGTTTTTGGTTTGTGGCAGCTAGATAGTGGCAAAGGTGTGGTAGTTCGTTTTCTCAAATCTTTGTGTCTTGAGAGTTGGTACTTTGCTTTGATCTTGCTGTATTGAGAGCAGAAGCTCTCCAAGGCATGCTAGACCATAAAATACTGTTGTAGCTATTGTCCAGAATACTATGTTATCTGGTTTGTCCAGATTTAAATTTGTTTTTATTGCCTGTAGATGGTTTTGTGTTATATGTGATTTTTGGTTAATGGGTTTGTGTGTGATTTTTGCTAATAGTATTAAGAAGTTCTTTAATTAAGAGGTTATTGCATATTTCTTCTTATTGAAAATAATTCATTTTGTGATGGTGCTTCAGGGCTGACAAGTATGATAATAGGTTGAAGGTGAAACTTTGTCATGTATATAGGCAATAAAATTGATAAAGTATTCTCTGGCAACAGGCCAAATACCACTATTTGGGTTGGTCTAGTAATTTTTGTGTGTTAATGTTTTATATTACCTTATGATTAATATGTATATTTTGTTTGACTTTGTTTTTAGACCCAAAATTTGGGTTGTTTGCTAATTAAGAGTTTGTGTAGAATTGTAAACTGCTAGTATTAGTCTGTTTGATAGTTTGTTTGTATTGCTGAGAACAAAATAGCATATATTGTAAATGTCTATTAAATTAAGGATAAAATTAGTAATATTAGATTAGTATATATATAAAGTATAAATAATAGGTGGTGGAATTCTTGTTTAGAAATTGTTTGTAGCCATTTTGTAAAAATAGATCAGTATCTGTATTTTCTTTGTCTAGTATATATTTAACTTTAATTAAGAAGCCTTTTTATATTTGGTCTTGATATATCTGTATTACTATATTATTAATTGTAGGTTGTTTGCAAAAGCCTGAGTTATAGTTTCTGCATTTGCCTAGATAATAAATTGCTTATATATTCAGATAGATAAGAATATCAGTATTGCTATTAGTATAATTAAAAGTTTCTTTCATGTATATTGTACTAAAATAAGTTTATGTTTTTAGTCTAGTTAAATATAGTGAAATAAGTTTTAAATATTGCTTTTTCTCTTAAATTAGATATATCAGTAAAGAGATTTTATTTAGATAGGCTAAACCATTATGATTTTCTGTCAGATCACTCTAGTTATATTGTGGCCTACTATTTGATATTTGACTTCATAGCTTTGTTGATTTTTATATAATATTTAGGGCTGCCTATTGTCTCTAAAGCCTAAATAAATTGTTGAATAAAGTGCTGTTTTTGTAGTAGAGTTTGGTATATTTATATTAATAATTCAACTAAAGATTGTAGCTATTTTTAAAACCTTATTGTTTGTTAGACTATTGATTTAGTATATTAATTAACTTACTTTTCTTACTATCAAAAATTGTAGCTATGAGTATTTCTTTATTAATATATATTCTGAAAAATATAAGTAAGATGTTAGGATCTTTGAGTTTGGATGATTTGTATAATATATTCATAATATTTAGTATTCAAAAAATTGATTTAATTTATTTTGTATATTTGATTTTAATATAATAAAAAAGTTATTAATATAGTAAATTATTAAATTTATTTCTTGTTATACTGTAATCTATATTAGAATATTTGCAAATTTGCAAAATATTGCTCAAATACCCAGTTTTTAAAATTCATTTTGATGAAATAAATTTTATTTTTTAAAAATACTTTGTAAGACTTAGTTTACAGAATATACTAGAAGAATTTTGTAGATATTTTTATATCTATTTTTGATAAATAGTGCTCTTTGCTATAGTATATAATTTATCTAATAGCATAACTTATATTTTTATATTGTATACTAAATTTAATCTTGTTAATACTATTATTTATACTTGCTTTAAAAGAAGTTACAAATATGATATGACATAGTATATCTTTTGATTTGTGTTTTCTTCTTTACTAATTTACAAGAGTTAATCTAAAATATTTTATAAGATATCATAGTGCATTGACCAGAGTACCCAGGGTCCAATACAATCTAACTCCCAAAAAACTTATAAAGTATCTGTAGACAGTAATATCATAGGACAGTTGTGGACAGTGAGTTTGAACACTTTGGACAATTTTGAACAATTAAATAAATTAAAATTACTCAAAATTTTATTAAGATAATCTATATTACTTTCTAAGTAAAATATGTTTAGCACCTAAAAAAATATATAGTTATATATATTTTAAACAAATTTATTAATTATTAAAGCTTAAGTATACTCTGAACACTTTTGGACACTTGGATATTTGGACGTTAGAAGTACCAAAAAAGCCTTTGGACAGTCAAAATGTACATCTCTGCCTGTGGGTATTTTGATCAGTGACAAGTTTATTGTATAAGGGTACTTTGTATAGTCTTATATATGTAATGCAGAAATCAATATGTGTTAACGTGAAAAATGCTATGCAAAATACCTGGGTATTATCCTCAGTTAAAAAAATACTATACAAAGTACCTGGGTATTTTGAATAAGGGGTACACAAAAAGGGTACTTTGGTTAGTATACTATGGTAGTTAATATTTAGAGAAAGAACTACATATTCACTTTTGTATTAGTATACTTTGAATAAATAATAGAGGATCAATTTTAATTAAGGGTACTCTCAAGCGTCATTCTCGATGTGATTAGCAAGTGATCACAATAGTACTCAAACAAAATTATATTTATATAAAATTTTTATTGAGAATTCGAATATGCAATTTATAATGTAATTGAAATTTTCTCAAGCAACATCTTCGATGTGATTAATTAGTGATTGTAATGGTGCTCATTTATTAGAATCAATTGAAATAAACATTGCAGTTAATATTTGAGTGGTTCTTTTACTATTTGTCAAAAATAAAAAATAAATATGAAAATAAAAAAGCAAAAAATAAAAAAAAAACAAAAACACTATTAAACAAGAGGCTAATGCTGCAGATTATCAAAAATATTCTGACAAAGCACCAACTTTAGCAGTCCCTGTTGCCTCTTTTACCAA